ACACACCTATACTTGATCCATGTCGTTTATTATATTAATGTATGTGATCATTGATGGGTCTAGTTATTCAAATATAGCAAAGACTTCTTTGGTCCTATGTTAATATAATTAATGGACCGGATTGATTAAAGATGCCTACAGTTTGATAGCAAAATTTTGGAGCTCCTAAAGTAAACATACAATGCTAAGGATTGTATATACATGTGTATGTTGTCCAAGTGAGAGATTGTTAAATTATTGGACTCATACTACATGTATTACTCACAGTATATTATTTACCGGGTTTAATTCTATGTTATATGCTATCTTATATTTAGGCCCAAAAATTAGTGGTCCTATGGATATTAATTTCAGTGAGCTAATAAGTTATCTAATAAGGTATAGGGCCCAAATGTGTAGAGACTCATGGGCTTAACCTAATTAATGATGGGCTGATTAGGGTTAAGCATTCTCTATAAATAAGGGGTTATGGTCCCTAGTTGAACACGCCATTCAATCTTTCTGCATCCCATCGCTAGAGAGATAATTCCCGAGAGTGTGTATCAACTAGAAGACGCAAACCCCAGCCCACGTCTCTCGGATCTCCAAAGATCATCTCCTATGGAGTCAGGTACGCTTCCGCTCAGTTAATTATCCAGATAATTTCAATATGAAGATTGAAGTATTATCGGATTTATTCCAACACGTACGTCCTCTGGCACATGAAGGCTCCCTGGGTACGAACGGCCCTTTAGCACATGACGGTCCTCCAGCTACGTACGTCCTCCAGCACACGAAGGCTTCCGGGTTACGTACGGCCCCAGGGGACGTACGTCCTTCGACACATGAAGCCTCTGTGACACGTACGTCCTTCAGCACATGGCGGTCCACCGGCTACGTACGGCCTTAGGCATATGAAGGCCCCCAGGATATGTATGTCCTCCAACACATGAAAGCCTTCGGGGTACGTACGTCCTTTAGCACAGGAAGGCCCCATGGGACGTACGGCAAAACGACATCATATTAATTAAAACAGCAAGCTCATGGGGACGAACGTCCCCACCCCTTCGCAGGAAGCCAAGAACCTGGGAGGATACAGGAGGCAAGCTCATGGGGACTAACGACCCCACGCCTTAGCAGGAAGCCAAGATCCTGGCGGGAGGCAAGAGGCAAGCTCATGGGGACGAACGTCTCCACTCCTTGGTAGGAAGCCAAGATCCTGGTGGGAAGCAGGAGGCAGCTCATGGGTAGGGGTGGGAAAATATACCGAAATTTCGGTATACCGGCCATACCATACCGAAAAATACCGAATTTACCGAAATTTTCGGTATACCGAAAAGTTCGGTACGGTATGATACCATACCGGGTCACTTCGGTACGGTAAAGGTATGGATTTTTTAGATTTTCGATATTTCGGTATATACCGAAATACCGTTAATTTTCAGTATGGTACGGTATATACCGAAATACCGATATACAGAAATAGAATTTGTAAATTTTTAGGGCCAAACCCATTAAATGAAATTATTAAAATACCAAGGCCCAAAATTAAAATAACCCATCTTATAATACTACGGAACTTCTCTAGTTCTCCCAAGTAGAGGCCTAAATCCCTAATCAAATAAATGGGAGAATTTGAGTTTGCACCCCATGTTTTGGGTGATATTTGACTTTGTACCCCATTTTAAAAATAATGTATGCACCCCATTAGCCCAAAAATTATGAAGGAGTGGGGTGCAAAGTAAAATAATTTTATAGTGAATTGGGGTGCATACATTAATGATTTTGAAAATAGGGTGCAAACTCAAATATCACCCAAAAAATGGGATGCAAAGTCAAATTCTCCCCAAATAAATCAACGTAGAGTCAAGCAGCTTCTCTTCTCTTCAACGAGTGACAGAGCTGTGGACTATTGAGCATTGACGATGGAGATGCGGACGAGTGACGAAGACGCCATTGACGAAGCATGGAGTAGCGGACGACCGTCATTATTTGCTAAAGCTTAACCATCCTGGTAATATGAACAATCTGGTCTATGCTCATTCTATATTTATAAACAAATGATAAAGTATATTGATAAAATATTTATACGGCGGACGACCATCATATTACCAAAGTAGAAAAATCTCTTATTTATACGGAGCTGCAACAATGATTCAAAGATTTGTTATTACAAACATTAGTTATCATTGATTTATGTTAGATAAATATTCTAATTTTCATTATGGATTGTGTTGAGACTTGAGATATTAGCACATAATTTTAGTATTTTCTACTTTGGATTGAATATTGTGTTTTAGTTTTGGTATCGGTTTATGTATTGATGTCGTATGCTACTTTTGACTTGTTAAAATCAGTTTTTTTGGATGTTCGGTAGGCCCCTTAAGCTAATACTTTATACGGAATTGCCAAGAAATTAAATTTATTTTTTTTTTGAATTTTCGGTATAAAACGGTATGGGTTACATACCGTACCGAATTTTCGGTATACCGAAATTCGGTATACCGAAAGTTTCGGTATGGTAACGATATGACATTTACCAATACCGGATTTTCGGTACGGTATGCGGTATGGCGTTGAAATTTCGGTATACCATACTGAACCATCCCTACTCATGGGGATGAACGTCTCAACTCCTACTGTTCACACGAATTTAAAAAAAATGTGCAAAACTACGTCGTTTTGAGGGTGGAGCATGATGCTCACCGTGGGATGATCCCACGGTATACGAACTGCATTGAATGCGGCCACATTCTATGTCGACGCCACTCTGGATGAGTTGACCCTCCACCGCTGGTTACTTGCCACGTGTACCCTCATTTATTGCACTTAGCATTTATGGCAGCGATAAATAGCTAGCTACTTCTTCATTGTAAAGGATCCCAGATCCGATCGAACACTTGAGATCAATTAATACATATCACATCCCTCTCTAGCTCTCCCTTCTCTCTGGGAGTTAATACTCCATCAGATATGTTTGGTATAATTAGTTGAAAAAATACTTTTATGAGCTTTTTAATAATTGTTAGCTTTTAGTGATTGAAAAGATCTTAAAACAAAAAGATAGTAGTTGTTTGATAAACAGTTGACAGCTTAATTTAGCTTTGTTTGATATACAAGTTGTTGGGACTAATTAATGCTAGAAGCTAGAGACTTATCTGTGATGCAACTCAATGTAGCATCTCAAAAAAGATTCTTTATTTTTAAAAAGCTCTTAAAATTGACATGTCAAACATACAACTAAAAGTTTTTAAAGACTTTAAATAGTACAAAAGGTAGAAGGAATGAATAGACTTTAGTTGTATTTAAATAGACTTTAAATACAACTAAAACATGCACATAGAAGAGTTTTCTGTTAGATTGTTTATTGCATCATTCAAATATAGCCACTATCACTAAAGAATCACACTTTTGTTCATAACTTTAAATTTTAGTAATATTTTAATTTGGTCATGATCGACTTCTTATTATTGTGCAAAATAGGACAAAATGACGTTATTGACAGCCTTTTTTATGATTTAAAATCAATATGAGATTCAGCAATCAGGCCTATGAGCTAGAAGACTTGCAAATACACCTCTCAACTCAGTGAAAAATAAGCAATCGGATCTTTTTTAACTGTTGGTGGTGGTAATTTCTCATCTCCTCACATGCACCAGCAGGTAAAAAAGGATATGATTACTTAACTTTCAATGAGTTAAGCGGTGTATTTGCAAGTCTTCCGATTCAGGAGCCTGATTACAGAATCGTAAATTCAAGAGCTTATTTGCTTATATTCTCAACCAATATTGATCGAAACTCATGTGTTCATTTGAGAGTTCGCAGGATTTAGTTTTTTCATTCTACCTAAATAATTTAAGTTTTGGGTTTCATTTTAAAAAGACAATATATAGCAAATATATATACTGCACTAATGTTTATATATTTGCATTTGGCTAGTTTGCACTAGATGCTATAATAAATAGGATTCAGGGGCGGTCTCAGAGAACTTGAGACCCTAGGCAAAAGAAGCACTGTAAAAATACTATTAATAAAAATAATAAACAAAATAAGTGTACGATCTAACGAATGATTATAAATGTTTCAGTGTTATTATATACTCTATCAATTCAAACATAATTTACTTTCAAAACAGATGTTTCAATGTTAAAATTGCTTTCATAAAGTATAAAATGTATAAATTTCACATAACTTATATTGATAAATTTATACTTTTATGATAGTATTTTTAACAAAGAACATGTTCGTGTTAATATCATATTATCAATACTGCCGTGTATGAATATATAATCGGTTAAAGTCTAACATTATTAATTTCAAAAATCAAATTTGGCTAAATAAAAAGGGATGAAGGTTGTATTATTTAAGAAAAACATAAATACAAATTCCCTAAAAAAATGTAACACAACTTTGGGTAAATTTAATAATATAAGAACATAAATTAATTAGTATTTTTTTTCACGTGTCTATAAAAATGTAGCATTATAAATCACTTACTTCAAGTAAAATATTCATTTTTTAACAACTAAATCAAAAAGTTAACAAACTCAAGTGATTGAAAGGTCAAAGGTAGTACATATTTAGTATTCATCCCTAAATAAACATCTCACTTCCCTTTTCGGTCTGTCCCTTAAAAAAACTCCTATTTTCTTATTTGGTAAACAAAACAATGCAAAAAGGGTTAAAATGCCAAACAATGGTGTCAAACAATATCATTTTCTTAAATTGTATTATGTGCGTCATTCAAGAGGGACTTTTAAATAGGGACAGAGGGAGTATACATTTACTAACCTAGTGGCTAGTAGTCCCAATTTCCCAAAATGTCCACACTTTTTATTTTTGTCTATCATAAAACTTTCCACTGTTTTCTTTTTAGGAAATTATTATTATCATGTGTCTAAATTTCAACCATACTTTTATCAGTTTATGTGCGATCAAATTGGGGTTCATTTGGAGATGGGGTATCTTACGTGAGTTACATCAAATCAAATAAACTACAGCTCAACGCCTCAACCATAGTCCATGCCACAAATTGTGTTCATTGACTAATTAAAATATAGCAGTTGTAATTTACATATACATAAATGATGAAACAATGGCATGGACCAATGAAACCTAAGTGCAAATTAGCTCGAAATATAAATCGATCTACTCCTTTGAAGAAAATTCTTCTGCATATTTTGTAGACAAACACTCATAAAAACATGTTTGAAATGTGGCAAAACCAAGTTTGTGGTTAAGCAAGTAGTAAATGTCATGCAGTAACTGCACATGGGGGGAGTCAGTCTTGACAAGTGAGTCTGGCCACAAAATTATTAGACATGAAAGCAAAGGCAAGTTCTCTATTGATTCGCCTTAGAGTTTGTGATATAACAACAATGATAGCATGATCATAGTCAACAAACTTAAGAAGCCTTTGATGCCACCTTGTCTGGTAGAATATTATCAGGCAAGATAAGTTCTGCGGGTGTTTCGCGGACAACACCCAGCATAGAATCGTATTCTTCATCCTTGCGGGCAAATTTCTTCCGGAGTACCTTCTCGAATTCGATCTCATCAAAGCTCTTTGCATTTTCAGCTGCGTGAACTTGTGCTAAGTTGGTGTAATTGAGGGCCGACTGAGAAATAAAAGATGTTTCTTCTTCGGTGAGCTTCCTCAGGAACTTTGCTGGATTTCCGCCCCATACCTATGCTTGATAGCCGCCCACACACGTATAAGCAAGAAATTCAAATCACATCACTTAAACAACCTTCATCGTGTTTAAAACCTCATTGAATTTACTATAAGAAGGACAACTGCACAGGTATCAAGATTTAAAGGCATTCCTTTTATTTGGTCACAGGAATGTTGGTAAATGGTGCTGTCACCTCAAAAAGGTCAAAGGGGTCTAATCTCAGACGAAAATCCCTATGCGCACTCTTACACAAGAGCTCTTCTGGACATCTTTCTAGCAAGGCAACTAGTCAATTGACACTACTTTTTCGAGACATTCCATGGAAGGGCTGTGCGCTCCATAGCTTTGTTATGGTGAGAATGGTGTCTAAGTGCCACTGTGTGGTTTGGTTCAAACTAATAGGACCTAAACTTGAAATTTTCCACGTGTTGGTCCCATCGATTTAGAGGTCACATGTTGGTAAATGGCTGTCTTTTCTGCAAGACAGGTCTCTATAGAAAATTCCTACTTCACGAGCTACTTCAAATAAAAATCAATAACTAGATGATTTGTTTCACAACTAAATTTAGCTAACTAATAAAATAAAACTTAGTTAAATGACCAAGTTGCCCTTGCATACCTATTTTACTTTTGTTTGCCACTTTTGTTACCTAGACACAAAAAGGGGTCTGTTTGTCACATTGTCAGCTTACTTACTTCGTCCCAAAGTAAGGTTCTTGGTTTTACAGCTTTTACTTAACATACTCATAAAGAAATGTGAAGCTGTGTGAATCAGATTTATCTAAAGGAGAAGGGAGATAATATGAGTCATGCCATTCTTCCCTTAAAAGGAAAGAGGTGCTTTATTTTGGGATGGGCAAAAAAAAGGAAAATGAGCCTCTTTTGGGAAAGAGAGTATTTTAGAATGGGGGAGCAATTAACTTTTGTGGAAATGCAGCGGGTTGGCTCTATTATTAGTGGAAAGAACTTGCGCAATCTCTTACTACGTATTAAAAAAATCCCTTTTTGGATAAGTCAATTGTTCAGTCACTGCTACTTAACAAAGTAATCAACGGTGGTTAAAAAATAGACTTAGACTTTCAATTTACAAATCGAATACTATGATGTCAAATGCCAGATGATTTGACTACTTTAGATTTTAGAAAATAGAGGGAACAAACCTCTCCGCAAGGAATACGAGTGTTCTGTCTAACGAGAGCACCGGCAGCTACCATGGCATTCTTCTCAACAACAACCCCATCAAGCAATATTGCACCCATACCAACAAATGCCTCATCTTCAACAGTGCAACCATGCAGAACAGCACTATGACCTTTTTTTACAATTTGGTGTCAAAAAGTTAGAATTCTTCAAATGATATCAATACAATACCTTGGGGGGATCATCCTAGAAAATGACAGAAAATACGTATAGTAAACTTATCATTACTGACCAACAGTAACATTGTTCCCAATGGTTGTTGGCAAAACCTTTCCAGCAAGATTGGATTTGGCTACATGAACAAGAGAATTGTCCTGGATGTTGGTTCCTGTCCCTATACTTATATTGTTCACATCACCTGCAACAAAATATTCATATTCGTAGAGATTAGCGAAATAGTGAAATGAAAAATCCACGGAAACAATTGCATGCAGTGATTGGATCCCGTCCAAAAATAAATGAGTTGCAAATAAATGGGAAACAATTACATGCAGTGATGTAGATGCATCTTGAGAGCTTGACATGAATGCATCCCGTTCAAAAAAAAACTCTGGTAACTACTTTTGTCCAAAAAAAGAGTCTTGGTTTGATAAAAGAAACTAACCTTCATTGAATTGAATTGAATCTTTCCAAACAAATTAAGTATGTTAAATTTAGTTAAAATAAATAAATAAATTTTTTAAAAATGTAGGATGATAATATGTGACTTGTACTGTACCAAAGATTAAACAACTGTACATTAAAGATTGTCTATTATGGGCATGGAAGGAGTAAATCAAACAAAGAAAAGGCACAGTGATGTCATCAACCAATCCTGAATTGTATGATTCAGGTCACCTGGGAACTCCTACTCTAAACTTCCATTTCTTAGTCATGCCATGTTTTCCGATTGTCTAACAACTATAAGGCACAATTAAACATTTAAGCCATGAGATTTTCCTAAGATTGCATTTCTCTCTACAAGCTGTAAAGCTCATAAGTTCACTAAAATGACCTCAGAACCATATGAGAGTCATCAGAGCATTCCTAATGGTTCTTTACAATCACTAGGCGCCACTATCTTCCTAGTTCCTACCACACTGTTTTCCAACCAATGCGGTCCTAGGCAGATCTTAACTAAAAACAGGTATGTTCCCCTCATTGGTTCCTTACCACTTTATTGCTCAACCAGTGAACAAAACACTAGGTGCCGGTAATGATAATAACTGTGATTTCTGTTTTGTCTTCTCACATGGAGCAACCCAACATACAAGGAGTCTCCATCTAAAATAAATTTCTTGAAGCTATTTTTCATGCTCATTGGAATCAATCAAAAACTGATAGCAACTTAAATGTCTCCTATCTAAAAATAACAGTGTAGGCTGCAGAACAAAACGCTGATTTTTTGTTACCAAAAAAGCTGTATTCTGAGAGACAGCCTGGTGCCATGTTTCAAGTACAGCAATCAGATAGCAAGCTCAACACTCTTAATCTCCTATAGCAATTCATAAACAGCATCATGTATTTCAAGAAGGGCCAAGATAGGACAATTTGACATCTACACCTAACACCATCATATTTTTTTTTATCATATTGTAACAATTTAATCATACCTCGTAGAACACATCCATACCAGATAGAGGAATTGCGCCCAACTTGAACATCTCCAATTAAAGAAGCACTTGGAGCTACAAATGCTTCTTTGTGGACAGTAGGAGCTTTATCGAACAAGTTCATAAGGGTTCTGTGTCGAGAAACTGGATAGAAAAGAAGACAGATTCAGCAATTAAATATTATGCAGAGCTGGAAACTCACATCTTCGCATCAGTAAAGTAATCCAACCACTTTGGTATCCATAACATGGTCATTTCCTTTAGAAATCCAAATATCCAATACGATTGAACACAAATTATTTAAACCTCCACGAGGACGAGATTAGAGTGACCAAGAATGATAAGCATACAGTGTACAAACACTAACTCACATCCAGTAAAAAGTGCCGTTATGAGACAGAAAAAACCCTAAATTTTCGATTTCCTAGAAGATTGATGAAACGGTATACCGATTAACTTTGAGATACCAAGTTATCAAATAAGAGAGAGAAAAAAAGAAAACTTGAATGCCCAGGGTGGCGTACGTTGTTCATGGAAGTAGTAGTTTCCCTGGAGGCGGCAGCCCAGGCGATCGAGGGCTTGACCAGTCTCGCGGATCCAGAATCCGAAGGTGTAGATTGCCCTGCCAAGCGAGCCCATCTTCTTCGGTTACTCCTCTGGTACCCGGTCCAGAAATTGCAGGGAAATGTAATGGATTTTGGGGAAGAAGAGAGTGCGGATACCAGCAGGAGTGAGGAGAAAAAGAGGTGAGCTGGACTGGGGAGTACAGAGTGAACTCGTTCGAGCGAGTGCTCGCTCACTTTTTCACATTTTTCACTCATAACTTTACTTTGTTTTTCTTTTAACCCTGTTTAGGAGTGTGTTTTTAAAGTAAATCATCCAAATTTATTCTTTGAATTTCCTAAATAGGAATAAAAAAGTTTTGAAATTCCACAATAGGACTATCATGTTTTTTATTCTTTGAATAGGAGTAAATTTCTGTCAAGTTTAGCATTACTAGGCTTTAAAACATGACATTTTTTTTCAAACTTAGCAGATTACTCCTATTCAGGGAATAAAAAACATGATACTCCTATTTTGGAATTTCAAAACGTTTTTGTTCCGAGCAATTTCTATATACAAATTTATACGGGGGTCGTCTTTTAAAATTTGATCAAGTTTGATTGCTGTGAGAATCAGGTCTAATCCACTTTATTATCACATGCCTAGAGAATAGCTTATTTTGGGTTATAGAATGTAAAAGTATTATTTTGAGGCAAATCTTTAAATATAAGTACAATTTAGAAGTTAAAATCTTAAGAGTTGTAATGAAGAAATAGTTTTTTGAGGTAAATTGTTTCCCCCCAAACATTCTAATTTGTATTTATTATAAACCTCTTTCTTTTTAATACTATCAAATTTTATGATTAGTTAGTTATTATATAATCCCTAAAATAAATCAATTCTAAAAAATAAAAGTATATGCAATCCCTCTTTTGTTTTTGAAAACATGCGCACTACTTAGTTTTACTTCCAATTATTAAAAGCATACATGCTCTGCTTCCCGTTCTAAACAAAATTACAAATAAAATATTTGATTTTATCAATCATCGGAAAGAGAGAATTGATTCGGATGTAATCCACAGAGGAAACTCTACAGAGTTGAAATTGTCTAGTTCATCTTCATCCTAGAGTGACGCGGTGGTTCAATTCAGGGCGGGGGTGAGTAACTGAGATCTCAGAAAAACTAGGGTGAAGAAGTCATGGCAACCGTGAACGACAAAAATTCACCACTCGATCGGTTACATCGTAAATGATGAGAAACACAAAGGACACGTTTACTTCACGGGTTAGTAAACGGTGCTTATTAAGACTCACGTTAATAAGCGGCGCATAAACTAAGCAGTGTTGTAAGCTCATGTTTACTTCAAAGGATTTAAAACACCGTTTAACATTAAAATGTCCAAAATAACCCTATAGATATATACACACAAACATTCATTAACACATGTATATAATATAATATATAGGGGTAGGGTCGGGGTAAGGAAAGGGGGCGGGGTAGGGGTGGGGTAGGGGTCGGGTCAAGGTAGGGGAAGGGGGTAAGGGTGAGGGTGGGGGTGGGGTAGGTCAGGTGGTGGAGGGTAGGGGTAAGGTGGGGGTGGGGTATGGTCGGGTCAAAGGTGGGGGTGGGGGTAGGTGGGGTCGGGGTCGGGTCAAGGTAGGGGAAGGTGGTAGGGGGTACAGGGGTAGGGGTAAAGGGTGGGGGTGGGGTAGGGCAGGTAGTGGAGGGGTCAGGGTATGGTGGGGTGGGGTATGATCGGGTCAAGGGTGGGGTGGGGTTGGGGGTCAGGGTGGGGTCGGTGTAAGGTAGGGTAGGGCGGGGTATTGATCGGGTCAAGGGTTGGGGTAGGCGTAGGGGGTAAATGGGTAGGGGCGGGGGTAGGGGTGGAGTCGGGTCAAGGTAGGGGAAGGTGGTAGGGTAAGAGGTGAGGGTGGGGTAGGGCAAGTGGGGGTGGGGTTGGGTGGGGTAGAGCGGGGTAGTTGGGTAGCAATAGGGTAAGGTGTAACACCCCGGCCCCGTAGGTCCCGAGGTAGTTACTTCTGACCTCTAGTACTGTCCTCACAAACCTCCACTAGCCTTTTCCGCGCACTTTGTCCTCACTCGTGCGCACCCTGAGAAACTTCTCAGGGGGTCACCCATCCCAAGACTACTCTCGTGCAAGCACGCTTAACTTTGGAGTTTTTGGTGACGAGCTCCCTTAAAAGGAGATGCATCTTGTTGGTATGAGTAGTACTATTAATCCTCTTAAATTAATCTCGGGTATTACATAAGGGCAAGGGGTAAAGGTAAGGGTAAATTCGGAAACTGAAAAAGCTTAAAGTGCTGCTTAATTAATACATGGGGGATAGTATGCTTAGTAAGCGACACTTTAAGCATCTCTTTCGGTTAGAAAGCAGCGTTTTAAACAACTTGCGTGTTTACTTCACATGTCTTGTTAATCTAACTGTGATTTTATCAGCGAAGTAAACGCCTCCAAAGTCTCTCTATATCGATAGTAGAGGAACATAGCTCATGTTCACCTGAAGTGGGTAACATTTTTGACCAAGGAAGAGGTTGGACCAACGCTAGAACCTTTGAACTGAATTGAACCGAATTAGAATCATATGCAATTCGGTTTAACTTTAGTATTATTCTTCCAACTCAAGTAAATCGAATTGAACCGAACCCGGGAAAACCGTAAAAAACGAACTAAATTAGATTTGTTCAATAAATTCTTCATATACTCCCTTCGTCTCTTAAAATTTTGTCATGTTTGACCGTCACGGAGATTAATAAAGTAAAAATCGTATAATTGAGGTTTGTACAAATGGGAGAGAATTAACTATAACCACAAATTCTTTCTTTAAAGGGGAAAGTAACAAAGTTAGTGGGACATCCAAAAAAGAAAACATGGTGTTTTACCAAATTGGTAAAAAAAAAACCTCTTGACACAAATTGGTAAAAAAGAAGAAGCCAAGCTAACAGATTGGGCAATTTTTGGGGAGTGAGACATTTTTTGCTATCTATTTTAGAATTCCCGATATTTCATATTCTAAATATTGTGAAATTGACATTTTCAGTCCTTCAACTTTGATTTTGTCATGAAAAATACAGGACTAAAAAATCTACTGCATTTTAAAAAATTACTCAAAAATTCTACGCCATATGAAAATTCTATTTTATATGGAATCTTTTTTATATTTTATATGCCGTAGAATTTTCAAAAAAAACTTATAGAATAGTCATATTTAAAATATTAATACTAAAAATAAATAAATTTATACGTGTGTGTTCGACTAACCAATTTCATACGTGTGTGCTCGCGTTAATGTACATATGTTAAAAATGATAGTGGTAGTAGTTATTCAATATAAAACGTAAATATATTTTTTATATCATTTTTCAAGACTTGCATATATTAAAAAAGTTAAATTATATACTTATAAATTCATATTGTTAATGGTCATTTTACGTCTTAACGGTCAATCACAAATAGTTAAATTACTAACATTTTGTTTCAAACCGATAACGAAAGTGGTTAGTTAAAAAGTTAACAGAATGTGCTAGTATTAATTTGCTGATTCAATAGACTTTTAACTAGCAGACAATTGATATTATGAAATATCGGAAATTCTAAAGCCGGTGACTGCAATAGTATTTATTTTAAATATGACTATTCTATAAGTTTTTTAAAATTGGTTAATCGAGCACACACATACAAATTTATTTATTTTTAGTATTAATTTTTTAAATATGACAATTTTTTTCATATGAAGTAGAATTTTTGAGTAAATTTTTTAAATGCAGTAGATTTTTTAGTCCTGTACTTTTTATGATAAAATCAAAGTTAAAGGACTTAAAATGTCAATTTCATAATACTTAGAATATGAAATATCGTGAATTCTAAAGTCGAGGGACAAAATGCCTCACTCCCAAAAAAAATGACCAATCTATCACTCGATCTTTTTTTTATCAAATTTTCTCACGAGGTTTGTTTTACTAATTTGGTAAAAACACCTTTTTTTTACAGTCTAGTAATTTGGCCGAGACAAATATGCGATAAGACGAAGTGCAAAGGCCGAAATGCCGAATGGGCAAAAGGCATAGTGGCGATGCGGCCTGCAGCGGTGAGTGAACTCCGCTCCAACCTCTAGTTCTTCACTTCTTGAGTCCTTGTCTTCTTCAGTTCAATCAGTTCTTTACTTCTACAAAACTCCAATCGGAGACTCCACCTCCAGGCAAGTCTTCCTCTTCTCCTCAACTAATAACTAATAAGTAAGAAACTGATAATTTATTAATGTTTTCATTATTAATTTTTTATGTAATTTATGACTTACGACCTATTAATGTTAGATGAATTTATTAAATAATTAAATTTAACAAACTAGGATTTTATTTATAAATTAATGTGATTAATTGATGAATTAATTAAACTATTTATATTTAATAAATTGCTATAAATATGTTTACACTTGTTAAGTTCATAGTTATTGTCAAGTTATTAATTAAATAAATACAGGGCCTCGAGGGAGATGCTCGGCCAACCCTAGGTGCTGCCAAACACCGCAGTCGAGTAGCAGGCCAGAGTTCTTCTTCGGCCAACAACATTCAATCGGTCTCAATCCGCCTTCCTTAAATATGAAGATATAAATGAAACCTGCGGCCTTCCTAGTGTTGTTTTTCCGTCATCTAGCTTTGGCGTAGGTTGGTGCAGCGATTCTTCTCATTCGACCACGAAGGTTGCTGTTTGTGTTGTTCTTTCTCTTCTTTTGCAGGTTATCGCTTCCCACGGGGGTGCGGCCACGAGGTTTCGCGGCGTGAGGGTTGCAGGTAATCTCACCTTCGGTCACGAGGGTTGCGGACACGAGAGTTTTGCTTGGGGCGCTGCAAAGCAACATGGCAGGGTAGCAAGGAAAGATAAATGCAGCACAAGGCTTGGTAGTGAAGAAGATGACCGCTAGCGGTAATTTCGCTACGAGTGCGGGACAAGGGGAGCTGTACGGGCTTCGAGAGTAGGGGTGTGCACTATCCGGTTTTAACCGGAAAACCGGATCGGAAAAATTGGAACCGGATCGAACCAGAATGATATCCGGTCCGGTTATCGGTTATGAGAATTTAGGAAACCGGTTTCCGGTCCGGTTCCGGTTTAAAACCGGATTATTCGGGTTGAACCAGATTTAACCGGTTTTGCTTTTTTTATCAATAAAACATGCCTCTATTCATATCATAAGTTTCAGGATCATTACATCAATCAAAGGAAAAACAAATCCGACACCAACTAAA